GTATTTAACGGAGATGCACCGGTCTTCGCAGAAGTCCCAAAAGTGATGGCCAGTAAACGTAGTTCCAAGGTCGGTGATAATGCTGTTCGGGAGTCCGAATCTGTGGATGATATCCTCGAAGAGCTCGACTGCTTTCTTTGTAGTAGCCGAAACGAGCGGTTTATACTCAATCCACTTGGAGAATTTGTCGATGGCAACGTACACGTACCGGAAACCACCTGGCGTAGGCTTGAAAGGCCCAATCATATCCAGTCCCCAGCATGCGAAAGGCCATGAGGCTGGGATAGTCTGCAGCTCTTGTGCCGGCACGTGAATTTGCTTGGCGAAGAACTGACATCCTTCACAACGTCGGACGAGGTCTTCTGCATCGGAGATGGCCGTAGGCCAATAAAAACCGTCTCGAAAAGCTTTGCCGACCAGTGTTCTCGAGGCCGCGTGGTTGCCGCAGGAACCAGAGTGAATTTCGAGAAGTAGCTTCACTCCGTCTTTTTGGGTGATGCATTTTTGCAGAATCCCTTCCTTGGCACTTTTCCTCATCAAGTTGCCGTCCACCAGCACGTAATGCTTGCTTCAACGAATTAGGCGTTCGGTTTCGGTCTTATCGGCGGGTACTTCGGCGCTGGAGAGGTACTTGATGAACTATTCCCTCCAATCGGCGGCCGGCAAAGGTACCGCAAGTACTAGCTGCTCGGCGGGGGAACTTCCTGAATTTCCTCATTTTCCTTAATAGATGGCGCTAGAAGATCTTGAACGAAGACCCTGGGTAGAATCACGACGCGAGAAGAGCCTAACTTGGATAAGTGATCGGCGAGCTGATTTTGATCGCGTACCATGTGGTGGTACTCGATATCGTAGAACTTCCCTTCAAGCTTTTTGATTTCGGCGCAATATGCATCCATCTTCACACTGGAGCAAGACCAGTCTTCATTGAGCTGGTTGATGACCAGCGCAGAGTCTCCGTAAACCATGACGCGTTTAACGCCGAGCTCAACTGCTATACGTAGTCCGTGGAGACACGCTTCGTATTTGGCGGCGTTGTTGGAGGCCGGAAAGTGTATCTGGAGGACATATTGGAGTTTATCCTTGGTCGGCGTAATGAACAGAATGCCCGCACCAGCACCGTTGATGTTAAGGGTGCCATCGAAGTACATCACCTAGTGCTCAGGGCAGGTGGCGGCGATGGGCTCTTGGATCTCGGTCCACTCAGCGACGAAATCAGCAAGCGTCTGAGACTTGATCGTAGGCCTGCTTCTGAATTCAATGGAGTAAGTGCCGAGCTCGACAGCCTACTTGATGATATGGCCGTTGGCCTCTTTGTTGCGGAGGATGTCCCCCAGAGGGAACTCAGTGACCACGGCGATCTTGTAATACTCGAAGTAGTGACGGAGCTTGCGCGACGTAATCAGAATGGCATATAGCAGCTTCTGGACCTGAGGATAACAAGTCTTGGGCTCGTTAAGAACCTCGCTGATGAAATAAACCGGGCGTTGCACCTTATAGGCGTGTCCGGCCTCCTCACGTTTGACCACAATTGTTGTGCTGACGACGCGAGAAGTAGCGGCGATATAGATTATGAGAGTTTCGTCTGGCCGTGGCGCCGTCATGATCGGAGGCTTTGTTAGGAACAACTTAAGCTGCTCGAAAGCTGTGTTTGCCTCTTCTGACCAGGAAAAGCGCTCGGAGGCCTTGAGGAGTTTGAAGAAAGGTAGCCCTTTTTCGCCGAGGCACGATATGAAGCGGCTTAAGGCAGCCATGCAGCCTGTAAGCTTCTGTATATCCTTGATGCATGTTGGCCTTTTCATGTTGGTGATGGCGGAGACCTTGTCAGGATTGGGCTCGATGCCTCGTGCGCTGACAATGTAGCCCAGGAGTATACCGGATGGAACTCCAAAGATGCACTTTGAAGGATTTAGCTTCCATCGGTGCCTTTTAAGGTTGGCGAACGTTTCTTTGAGATCGGCGATAAGCTCATCGAAGGTCTTGGACTTGACGACCACATCGTCGATGTAAGCTTTGATGTTGCGGCCGATCTGTTGATCGAGGCACATCTGGATAGCCCTTTGATAAGTCGCCCCAGTGTTCTTGAGTCCGAAGGACATGGTGGTGTAGCAGTACGCACCGAAGGGCATGATGAACGACGTTTTGATCTGGTCTTCTTCCTTGAGGGAGATCTGGTGATAGCCAGAGTAACAGTCAAGGAAGGAGAGCAGTTCGTAGCCAGCGGTGGAGTCTACAGCCTCGTCTATATGAGACAGACCGAAGGGGTCCTTAGGGCAGTGTTTGTTGAGATCGGTATAATCAACGCACATTCTCCATTCTTTATTTTTTTTTGAACGAGAACAGGGTTTGCTAACCACTCAGGATGATACACTTCTTTTATAAATCCGGCAGCTAAGAGCCGTTTTATTTCTACCCTAATAGCCTCCTTGTCTGGCGTGAATCGGCGGAGTTTCTGCTTGATCGGTTTGGCGGTCGACGAGACATTCAAGGAGTGCTGAATCGGGAGTGCTCAATCTCCTGCTGTGGAGTTTCCAAGCAAACTTGATCGGTTTGGCGGTCTTGGAGGGGTCAATCGAGGCCGAGGCCGACCTCCTTGACTTCCTTGGACTTGGCGGGGCGAGAGACATTCAAGGAGTGCTCGATCTTCTCCACACCGCCATCTACCCCCCAAGGGGCGAGACTGTCTTGCAGGCGCGAGGAGAGGTTCCAAGCAAACATGTCGACGCTCTTGAAAGCCCAGATCACGTAGGGAAGGAGATGGCGTGGTAGGCGCTTTCCTATTTGGGGTCAAGGTGTTCGCCCCAATCTTCACGGTCTTGGAGGGTAATCGTCGAGGCGGAGGCCGACCTCCTTGACTTCCTTGGACTTGGCGGAGGCGCGAGATCGAGGCTCCAGCTCTTAGGGCTCTGGCGAAGAGAGAGACTCTCCATATCGCTGGCGGACACCGCCATCTTGGCTTCGGTGACCACACCATGCCATCTGGATGGAGAGGTCGGTGGTTCTTTCTACTCTCGGATGGGCGAGACTATGTCTTGCCTTGTCGTGATCCTAGAAGGCGATGGAGAGGTTTGGTGGCCTCCGGCTCCATCGGCCATCGGACTCTCCCGAACTCCTTAGCCATGCGATGGCATCTTCATCTTGTGTTTGGCGCAGAGAGGGCGCGTCGAGGATCTTCTTGTATTGCTCATCATAGTTGTGCTTGGCCCGGGTTCGGTACAACCATGAACTTGGCTGCCGGCGGCGGCGATTTTGGCCGAGCTTGGGTCCTTCGGCGATCAAGTATGGCGTGGTAGGCGGTGTTGAAGTCGGCGACGAGAAGTTGATGTGTTCGACGCGTTGTAGTTGCTTGTCGTTGGCGGTTGTGAACTCGCAATCCACATTGGTAGGGTAATCTCTCCAAGCGGTTTGGAGGCTTCAACTTCGTGATGTTGAGGTACCACACCCCAAAAGGAGGAGCTCGGAGGGTGTGAGATCTCGACAAACACGTAGCCGAGGCCCAGCTCTTTAGGGGCTCCGGGTGGTGGCGTGAGCGAAGAGGAGATTTAGAGCGCCCCACCGTCGTAATCCGAGCACTTTTCTAAAGAGCACCTTTCCGGACGGTTGCGTCGAGGGACGAGGGGAAAGAGCGCCTGTAGGGAATATCCGCATGCCCGGGCGGCGTTGACGTACGGGTGATGCCTGCTCCTAATCGTGTTGGCGGTGATGGGGACCTCGATCCGCACCATGGGCGATAGCGATTAGTGGCGGTGTCGTCTTCCAACCGATGGCGAATCGGGGTGGTAGAGCACCCTCTAATCGGCGGCGAGCTTGCGCCGCTCTTCTACTCGACCTCCGGCGCTCGGTGGGCGAGGCCCCCAAAGATGGTGGCGACCACCTTGTCGTGATCCTAGAAGGCATTGTTGTTGCCCCCAGGTGGTCGGTGGCCTCCAGCTCCATCGTTGGCGTCGTCGTCCAGTTTCTTGTCCTAGAACTCCTTAGCCATGCCGAGGCAGTTCTTCATCTTGTGTTTGACGTTCTTGTGGAGAGGGCACCATAAGGAACGGAGGTTTGCTAGCCTCCATAGAGCACGGGCCGTCGAGGATCTTCTTGTCGGTGACGTGGAGCATGTTAACGGCCGGCGGAGGTTGGTTGGCGAGAGAGTTGTTCATCATAGTTGTGCTTGGCCCTCGAGTTCTTGGTAGGTGGCGGCGATTGATGTGGTCTAGCTCCGCGGCGGCGATAGATTTGGATTGGAGGGTGGTCGGCGGTCCTGTCCAGAGCCGATTCGGCGATCAATCGACGAATCTTTAGACCGACCCGATCGATGATAATCGATGATCGTCGTTGTTGATTTGCCTCCTCTAGTAGCGAGGAAGCGGGCGGCGAGTTGTTGTGAAGTCGGGTCATTCCGAGATCGGATCTGCCTTATATAGATCCGGGAGCAGAGGTTACAAGTCGGTTATTGATCCGAGAGATAACCTGCGGAGGGACGAAGAGCCTGCGGAAAAAGCCATCTTGATTACAAGGAATCTTGGGATCATACATATCCTCGTCGAGATCTCGTAGTATCTTCGAGAGGCGTGAGATCAAGAAACAAGATATATTCCAGATGTCTTCGGGCCGTGGGAGGCGCCACTCCCGCAGGTTTGTATTAGCTATCGTATGATATCGCGTGTGCGTTTGGAGGGTCCCCGCCTCAGCAGGGTTACAAGTCGGTTAGATCTCAGAGATAACCGGAAAGTAATAACTTGATTACAGAATCTTGGGATCATACATATCCTAACAGATCTCGTAGTATCTTCAGTATCTTCCAGATGTCTTATGGGGGCGCCAAGCAGAGTCGTGCCCGCAAGGCTTCGCTTTTGGGGCTGGGCCGCCTCGAGGGCGCAGTGTGGTCTGCCGTGGGTATTCGAGTCGTACCCCCCACAAAGCTTCAAAATATAGAAAAAGTAGGTTTAGCTGCCAATCATGGCAAAGAAGATGGCAAGTTGGTACCTGTAATTGTTTCAAGGAGTTCAAAGATGCTTGAAGAAGTTTGCTGTAGAAGAATCACTAATGATGTAGGATATAAAAATGTAGCCCTAGAAAATAGTTTGAGAGTTAATTCAGATATTGACTATAGAAGGAAAGCTCCAGAAAGCCAAGAGGTGCAGCAGCTTATACCTCTGTCAGAACCTATTAGTTCATCACAGAGGAAATTTATGAGAGAATCTTCAGGTGGTGGGGACAATAACTGTTCTGGTTTGATGTGCACTGAGAGTGTTGAGTCTAATGAAGTCGGTAGCTGGTACAGTGTAACTAGTTTTGATAAATGGAATCCTGCTGCTGCAAGGAATGCAGAATTTACCAGCATCCACAGAATCCAACTGATGGGAGTCAAGTGGAAAACATGCTGTTGACGACCGTGCTGTTGCAGGAATCCAGAATTTGACCACCAGCATCCACAGAATCAAACATGGAACTGATTTCCCACCAAACTGTGAGTCAAGTGGAAAACATGCTGTTGACGACCGTAAGTGATCTAGTGACCTGACATTGTTCTATTGGTTTCAGTCTCCTTCAGAATTATCACCAAGCTCTTTGGTTGGAAGTTTGGAACAGGACCTTCCTCTTCTAATTATGATAGCATCCAGTATGTGACAACACTATACAGCTCGGTATGTTTACTTCCAAGATTGTGTCATCTTGGGCGCCAATAGTACTTTTTTTTTATATGGAACCCATTATGCACCTCGTATTTACTGTTTTCTGTAGAGGCTGCGCCCTTCACTTTCTGGAAAACTCAGTGCATCTGCAAGTGATGAAGATGATATGTCTGGTCTAATGGAAAACCATCAAGAATTCATTCATGTAATGAAGTCTCGGCTAACCAAACTAGAGGTATTAAGGGGTCCAGAATAAGATCGTCCATCGAGTAATTATCAAGAATCCATTTGCTGTTATGGGACACGATTTGTTATATGTATTGAGTAATTGTAGTTGCTATGTGATATTTGCAGGTGGTTTACCGGTGCTGGCAAAGAAATGATATAAAAGGATCTATTGATGCTACATCGAGAACGTTGGATTTTGCTGTATGTACTCTACTACTCTTTTGTTGTAGTTTCACCCATTACAATTTCTGAATGTTCTCTACTCTTGTAGGCACTACTGACATAGTTAACGCTCTAATGGAGAATAGGAACTGTATCACATTAGATGTTTGCGCTTCTCTCTTACGTCTTACTGCCAGTCTTCTTGAAAGCACATATGACAGGTCATTTCTCATATTTCCTCTTAATTTATCAATATTAGAATTGTGAGATCATTTAAATTTGACCTTGCTATTGAACATTGGCTGACTATTTTGATTAAAAGCTGACTAAATGCTCTTTGGAGAGTTGGACCTTGTAATGGGAAGTAAATCTGATTATAATGAGTCCCTTCCTCAGAAAGAGATGGAAGATATGACATACTGTTCATGCATTTGTTCAAAAAAGACATACTGTTCATGTATGGTCAAATTGTAGCACTAGCTGGCCATTGTATTCAAAGTATGACACGTACAGATCTGAGTATGCAGATATGACATGCTGTTCATGGTTCAGGCTATAGTCTAATTTTAGCACTAGCTGGCCATTCTATTCAAGGAATCAAGGCTATGATGCATGCAAATTTCTGCATCACTAAAACTACATTTGCACGACTGTACTTTTTAAATTCACGTGAGTCATGGATTCCATGGTTCCATGGATATGGATCGCAATCAAACAGTTTAGCGACCATGTATCAATGTCCTGCTGTACCCATTCCCAAAAAGGAAAGTCCCAATGGTATACTCAGCTTCCTTCACTGATGGTAACACTAACACTAGTAGCCTCATTAATTAGAAGGTTTTCTATTGTGCAATATTTAACTGCCCCTTCCACTGTTTTAAGTTCGTTTTCACAGTTTGTATATGGTGCTACTAGTATGAAAAATGACTGACAGTGTACATTGCAACAGTAACTGTTTTGTCCAAAGTGAAAGGCTGTAGTTGATAGATGTGCATTGACACTTTTCAGGCATATGAGCATTGCCTTGGGGATGATTCTCAGTCTCGTTAAGAGCTTTGGTTCCACCATTTCTTCAGCTTTGTCGGCTACACCACCTGTTGGGGTAGACCTTGAGGCAGAGCAGAGGTGTTTTCTTCTTTTCATCTCATTGAAAATTGTAATGGATTCTCCTTCCTGCCTAATGCATACAATGCGCTTGCTTCACGAGCGCATATCTTGCTAGGTTGGAGCGGTGCAATCTATGTTTCCAAGAACTGAAGAATGTGAGCGCCAGCCTCAAGTTGCTGACAAGGTAAACTTCAATGGCTCTAGCCTCTTAAGTATCCCATGAAACCTCAAAACATTGTTCAGTTCAATGACCTAAACTAATGCCCTCTGGGCATTTCCTTTGCAGGCGGCAAGGCGAGGTCGGGAGATCAGCTCAGGAGCTCAACCTTTTTCTTCAGGATATCTTTCAATTGTCAAGCGTGTAAACAGTGACCATACCACAACCTGCAAAATATTCACGCACTCCATTTCCTTTGGTCATAACAGATATAGCAACCTAGGATTTACAGCTAGAAAGAGAGAAATATATAGAAATTACATACATGTGTAGAAAATCAAGGGTCAATTTGATACTATAGCCGTATAGCGTGAAGCTTAAAAGTTTTTTTTTCTCCATTTTTAAGGTATATATAGAGATAGAGATTAGAGAATTCAGAGGTTCTATATTTTACCATTGCGTGTGCACGCCCTCTGTTTGCGCATGTGCTTGGGCACCTAATGACAAATGTACATAAGCAGCATTTCTTTAAACTTTTATATTGCCAATTTATTAGTGTCATTTTCTCCCCATTTCTTTTTGTTGATTAGCTGAGCAATTGGGTGCTCTACTATCGCCAATGCGTTCCACGTGCAGTTTTTCTTTCCTTTTAGCTGCAAGCAGCATATGAAAAATTGGTTTCCCCGTGCAGAGGCGCCATAAACCTTCGAATTGAGTTACCAGTTTCGCAAACAGAAGTAAGCCCTGTTCGTGTGGGCTGGTTTGACTTATAAGTCATGGTTGAAAGTACTGTTGGCTGGTTTAGTGTTAGAGATAAATATTGTTCGTTGGCTGATAAGCCATGGCTTATAAGCCAAATACGACAAGCGAACATGCTAGTCTATATAGAAATACCTGTATAGAGATCGCAATTTATGCTGAAAGCATAATTACTCTACTCTTGTGTTTTTTTACGCTAATGCTTGGTTGAGGACGTCCGGACAGATGAACGGATCCACCCCTGCGCGCGTGTTACGCCTAATAAAAAAAGGGGCCATAGTTACAGCAGGGTCCGCAAGAGCACGTGCGGCCACTTTGTTCTAGGTGCATGCAGTGCGTGGGCCTGTGCATGCACGTGATCACAGAGAGAGGACAAGTTGCCTGCTGCGTCCGTAGCTGGTTGGACCACCCAGGCAGGCCTCTAGCCGCACGCGGCGGCCAGGGGCAGGGGCCTCCCTGCCGTGCTTGCCCTCTGCTCTCTAGCGCCTAGGCCTGCTGCTGCTTGCCGTGTTGCTCTTTTCTCTCTCTGTATTGTGTGCGCCAGGCCTAGCTGCCCCTGCCGTGTTGCTGCTTTGGCCGACCAGCTTAGGCGCTTAGCCAGTTGCAGGCCTACCCAGGGCGCTTGCCTGTTTGTTAGAGGAGCGCGGGCCCACATCTGCATGGGAGCTGAGTGCTAGCCTAAATTTTTCCGTCACTCCATGGCATCTATCTCCGTGTGTTTCATGTGTTTCAAATGCATGTTTTTATCTGAATGTTGTATGTGTTTCATTTGGATGTTGTATATGTTGCAATGACTATACACGTATGTTGCAAGTGTATGTTTCAAATGTTTCACCTGTTTTAAATGTATACACATGCTGCGAGTGTATGCTTCAAATGTTTCAATTATTTTAAATGTATGTTGCAAGTGTTTTATCTAGATGTTGCATATGTTGCACTGGCTATACACGTATGTTGCAATCGTATACTTCAAATATTTCAGCTGTTTCAAACGTATGTTGCAAGTGTTTTATCTAGATGTTGCATATGTTGCAGTGGCTATACCCATATGTTGCAAGCGTATGTTTGTAAATGTTTCATTTATTTCGGACGTATGTTTTAGCAAATGCTTTGTGTTGCCAGTGTTGCATAACCAGACACGGGAAGTGGGAGTAGACGAAGGTGGTCCCGCGTGCGTGCGAGAAGCGAAGCGGGCACGGTGGCCCCACATGCATGTGTAGGCGCATGCGTACCGTAGCAGTAGGCGGAGCCAGGCCGACAGACGCGGCACTAGCAGCGCGTACGGACAACAGCAACAACGCTCGTATAGGTGCGACAACAGCGTGCCGGCGGGCGGGCAGGTTGCATGCATGCGCTGCGGGGCCTGCCCAGGCAAAGTGGGAGGGCCAAGGCATGATCCACGTGTCCCTTCTATTGGCCGCATGTATTCAGGAAAGTGCGTCTCCTGCGGTCCTGCCGTATGCAGAAGAAGCGCGTCAAACGCGTGGGCGGGCAGTAGGCGTGGGCGTTCGGACGTCCGGGTGCTAGTGTAACAACCGGTGTTACTCGATAATTAATTATTAGTGTTACTTCATAATTAATTATCTTAAGCCGTGCCAACTCACACTTGACATGTCATGACTTTTGGTGGAGTTGAGAATTTTTGAAAAAGGCTTTAAAAATGAAGTTTTGTTGGGATGGATAGCCCTACGGATAAGATTTCCGGAATGTCCAAAATAATTAAAATCGGAGTCTGGATGAAAGAGTTGCTCCCTTGAGAAAGTCTCCCCCTGCCTGTCAGAAGTTCTGACTTCGGGCTAGGCCAGAACTTCTGATCCCGTATCAAAACTTCTGCCCTCCGGCCAGTCCGAAGTTCTGACTTTCGCTTGGAAGTTAAGTAAATAAGAGTTGGAGATTAGGTAGAGGTGAAGATCTTTTCTACAGGAAGTGGGACCTGGTTCTTCCGAACGCGCTTGTGCCCTGCTCGGTCTTCGTCGTGCTGTGCATGCACATGGGCGCTGGCCACCCATGCCCTGCGCCATGGCAGCCCACGCCCCGCCCATGCCGCTCTGCTCCCTGTCCTCTGCCTTCTTGAGGGCACCCAGCTCGCCCAGCACCCTCGCTCGCTCTCGCATTCCCTCTGCTATGCTCCTTTCCTCTCTTTCTCCCTCGGCTCTCGTCCGCCATGAACGATGGGCTCAAGCTCAGCCACCGCCGTTTCCTCTGCTCCACCCCTCTCCGCGCTCGACAGCGTGCACCACCGCCTCCGCCTCCTCCTTCTCTCCGCCCGGATCCCCCTAGGCCGAGTCGGAGACCGCCGCAGCAGCCCTGGCGTCGGGCCATCGCAGCAGCAACCGCGGGCGCTCATGGCCAGGCCGTGGCGGTCCCTCCCCAGCGAGGCTGAGCGCTCCCTCGGGTCCGTGTGGGCCCTGGCCCGCCCCCGTGCTACCACTTCGCCGCCGGCGAGCCCCAGCCCAGCCTCCCCGACGTCCTCTGCCTCCGGTCCCCTGCTCTGTGTACGTGAGGAAGAAGAAGAAGGACAAGGGTTGTAATAGAAGCTTTTCTAGGATCCCAATGTAAATCTCATGACTCATATGAATAGTGCTGCATAGTGTGTGCTGGACTACGGGTTGATTAAGGAAAAGTCCAGGGGCCTTAGTGCAAAGTTTTTGTCTTTTATAGGTTTTCTTTTCCTTTTTAGTATAATTCGCTAAAACTTTGAAAGTTCATAGTAAATAGTAGAAAAATCATAAAAAGAAAATGAAGATGTTTTGAAATCCTTGTGAGTAGATCTATGTAGTAGAACTATAATATGATATGTTTTAATATAAAGTTTTTGCTGTAAAAATATATCTATGCTTTCTAGTTTTAAATTCGTAAATATAGTTCATGTGCTCCAATTGTGATAAAAAATTTATGCTAGACTAGTGTTGATGTGGTTGTGCTATGGTTAAAATTTCATGCCCAATGGATGTATATTTCTTGAGTTATAGATTTATCTTGTAATAAGCTTCTTTAATAGTTTTTAAATAATTAAAATTGTATAAAAATAGAAAACATGTGTCATCTATGTTTTATAACTATGGTTAAGTTCTATGAATGAATAATATGGTTCTATTGTTTTATAAAATGTTGAGATGTAGGTTTATCATGTGTTTAGAGTAAAGTTTTTTTCTCTATAATTAAGTCTTTGCTTGTTAGTGCTTTATGTGACTAGTTTGTAAATAATTTCTTAAATGGAGTTGTAGAAATCGGAATGCTCTGAACTTTTCGTGGCTTGCTAATGTTGTGTGTATGTGCGGTGGTAAAAGTTTCATGATGTATAGATGCATGATTTCTGAGTTAGTAGTTTATCTCATAATATGATTGTTTTATAATAAGAAAATAGATATTAGGTTTAGGAGGAAGTAAACACTTGTTTTGTGTAGGTAATGCCATGACTTGTTAGTTAGTCATTAGAGCTAGCTTTGTAGGCTTGAATTATGTGCTTCTTCTTTTTAAGAGTTGTTGTTGCCTTTAATTGATTGCATCATCGTTGCATTGCATCTATGCATCTCATTTAGGAACGATGGCGGATGGATCGACAAGTGGACTATGAAGTCAAACCCCAAGACGATGTAATGGTGGGAAAACCATAAAGATGAAGGTTCATCAAGTCCTAAAGATGGAGCCAACTAACTTAATGTGATGTTGAGTTACTGAGGCAAACCTCGGTGCATAACCCCTATTTTTAAAAGCACTTATTATTATGTTGCTTGTGCATTATTAAGTTTCAGGAGTTGCTTGAAACCCACCTGCATAAATATTTTATCATATGAGTCCTACTAGTATGACAAGAATCGTGTAGTATGCCATGCTATAGGGCTACGGTAGTAGTCGAGTGATGGACGCTCACTCGCGAGAAATAGGTGATGGTTATAATATTACTACTATCACACGGATTCAGAGATGGATAATAATTGGAGACCTAGCGGGAAGTGGAAAAATAGATTTTTGTTGGGGAATTGGTGGGTGCAACAAGGCACGGCCCTAGGTGCACGTTTCTCGCCTATGTCGGTTAAGGACCGTACCATTAGTAGCAATGTGGCAAGTTTGACGGTACCGAACACATAACAGGGGCCTGAGTTACAGTTGACCGTGAAGTTAAGTACTTCCCTATGATTCAGGGTCCCTAAAAAGTTTATTGGTGTGTTACACTGACCATTTGAGGAGTTGTTAGGAGGCGGGGGATGTCCATGGTAAAACTTATGAGGGGAAAACCGTCGCTGGTTCGCGGGACGGGCCTCATAGGGTGGGTTCCCCGGGATGGTCGGGTCGCTTTTAGACCTGGGTTGTACGAGAGGAAAGGTAGCCTTGTACTTGCTCCTTCAAGAAGTACGTGCGTGTGTTTAGGATTGCCCAGCTAGATGTACATCGATTGCAATCGTCGCTCTCCTCGGATATGGATACCACTTGTCGCACCACTGCTAT